ACCTTCATTTGCAGTAATAAAAAAGCTCTTGTTTATTCTTGAGGAAGCAAGACAGTCAATCTTTCAGTGTGTGTAGGATTTATAGAATTAATGTTCTTTTGCTGAGCCTCATACCCCAGTCCAGTCAAATGGTTCAGCTTTTGGTAACCATGTTGATCTCTTCTGCTAGATACTACCTATTGATCTGTGACTATTTCCCCACAGTCTTTAGCAAGGTGTGTGAATGAAAACTGAGCAAGTGGGAAGAAAATGAGGATTGGACGGTTTTTAGAGTTAGCACATTACCCACTTAGAACATAATGTCCTCTACACATCATTTTTCTGTCCCACTGAAGTATGTTACAGAAAGCATTTCATTGGCTGTGCTCCAGCTCATTGTGAGCAAGTTTCCTCGAGGGTGAGGAAGCCAAAGGGAATTTTCTTTTCCAGCTCTGCCTTGGTTCTTACCAAGACACTCTCACTCTCTCAAAGGGGGAGGGTGATCCTAGAAACGGTTTCTGGTAGCTGAGGTCCCTGAATGTTTTATAACTTTGTTCAACCAGGAAACCCCATTTTGATGTTTTTGGGACTTTGGAGGATGATCCCACTCTAGGAGCTAAAAGGTCCCTTTCCTAATTGTATTTGAGGATTTGGGATTTCCTGATTGAACAAAGATATAAAATATTCAGGGCCTTCCAGTTACACTCTTGTTTTTATCCATACCATTGACACCTCTGTGGTACAGGACACCAGGGATGATCCTGAGCCCATAAAACTGGACAGCGGGCAATGCCCCTTCAGATTTCCCGGAACAGCTACTTCAAAAAAGGGATGATGCTGGGAAAACCTAGATAGGTGGCAATGCTACCCAGGATCGGTATCTGGGGACTCTGATTGCTTCTGTCATTGGGACCCTGAAGGAGTGAGGAAGTGTCAGTAAAAGTGTAGAAGTCTTGAAATAAAGGCAGGAAAAATGGCTATGGTTGTCCTTGTAGCTTGTTTACTTTGAGAATGTACAGCTTTATTACTAACACTGTCCACCCTAGCACTTTTGTCGGTATAACTTATGTCACTCCGGGGTGTGAAAAAAACACCCCCTCGAGCAACATAAGTTTCACCGACAGAAGCGCCGGTGTGGACTGCGCTATGTTGGTGGGAGACTCTCTCCTGCCGACAGAGCTACCATCGCTCGTTGGGGGTGGTTTAATTGTGTCGATGGGAGAGCTCTCTCCTGCCAGCATAAAGCAGCTACACAGGAGATCGTACGGTGGTGCAGCTGTGTCGCTGAAAGGTCTCTAGTGTAGACATGTCCTAAAACTCAAGAGTTTCAGCAGTTTTATTCCTGGGTAAAACACACACACATCACACACCTCTGTCTCTTCTTTAAAAAAAGCCAAGGGAGTAGAAGCTCTTCACTTCTTGCATCGTATGAATGGAAAGCATCTGATCTTACTGACAAAATGACTGATGCTACTCAAGAGATTTTTTTTTAATTAATGCTGCCACTTATTATTTTGAGACATTACTTATAAACAAAACCAATCTGCTATATTGAAAGATTGCAGAAGTAATTATTTTGAAAGGATTGCTATTATAAACTGTTTTGTATGGATTTGATTTCAGTGAGTTGCTGTTGGGACTGGACCACCCCAACATGTAATTTATTATTTATTTGCAAAGTTCATGGAATTCTGAGTATATTATTTTTCCCACAAAAATAAATGCTTCGGTTTTCTCTTTAAAATAACTTAAAATGCCAACGTGTCCGGATTCACAAGAACTTTACAGCAATCTCTATGGTGTAAGCATTGATGGGGTGATCATTTTTGTTGAGGAAGCAGATTTGTGTTCTCTTTTTCCAAGGGAGAGGGTTATAAGGTCCAGTGCGGGAGTGGGCGGGGAATAAACTGTATGAACATCTTGACAGAGTTGAGAGTTTTAAAGTTTTCTTATGGTTGGTAGATTTCAGGCCAATTGACACTAAGCCTGGTCTGGAGATGTAAGGAAAATTATTCTTCAGATCTTCAGTGCAATCAAAGCAAAAAAAAAAAAAAAAAAGAGAGGAAATCATTTTACCTTTACTAATGCTTGTCAATGAGACACTGTGGTCCTCTGTGCTCTAATGTGAACTTCGGAAGCTTCCGGGAAAATACTTAATCTTTATAATTGTATAGAATGGAGTTTGGCCTTTCTCAGTCATTTCTCATCTTTCATGCTTCCTACTGTTTAGCTACTTTATTAAAATATCTCATTTTAAATGGTGTGTGCTCTGTTAGAGATATAGCTGCATTTCAGTTAAATTCCTGCTAGCTGAGCTGTATCCATCCAATCCTCAAAACTCCGCACAGCGCAAGAGGAGGAGATGACAAAAATTCTGAACAGGAAAAGCGTTTCTCCCGAACTCAAGTAATAGACCTCAGCAGATTCCTCCACGGAGGTAGATAAATAGGTGAAAGAGCTGAAATTGAGCTTGCCCAAGGATCTAGACAGGAAGAGCACTTAGCATTTGGGAGATTGGGGTTTGGGAGTGACCTCTCATTCCAGTGTCTCGGGGGGCTAGAAGCATCGCAGGAGTGAACCTCCTAGATAAAGGAGGAAACTTGACTAACGCACTGCTTGGAAAAGCAGCTCTCTTCCATGCAAATGGATTGGGCAGTGAGGGGAGGGCAGAACTCGTTAGAAAAAAAGAGTACCTAGGTATGAAGAAGTGGGTGACAATTGTAAAGTCCATCTCCTTATAGTGACTTGAATTTCTGCCTTAGAAGCAAAATCTGCCCCCTTCCTTCCTCATGTTTACAAGAATGCAGTGACCACTACTGTGGGAGAGCCTCCTGCCAGGAGATAAATCTGAGAGATCCCCATTAGCAGGGCAGCTGGCTTCTGTCAATGCCAAGTGTATTCTTGTAATTACCTTTTGGTGACTTGCAGCCAGTTTCTCTAACTTAATAGGATTATGAATGATGAATTTGGTAATTCCACCACTAAAGCCCTGTTAGAAGTGAGTTGACAGTGGGATCTAGTTAGGTGTATACTAGATTCTAAAAGAAGAGAACAGAATTAATAAATGGAGATAAAATGTTTTAGTAGTTACTAATTTAAAAAATAGGTCATGGGCAGATGTTATGAAGATCACCATGAACTGGCTGATTGGTAATGGGGGGGACAGCCTTTGTCATGTTGGTCACTGGTTTGAATCTATCCTATGCTGGTATTGAGAGTAAACAAAAAGTTACTATGTAATAGTTTGGTGACTATGAATAAATTGCTATTCTTAGCCCAGTTCCTAGTGGACAACTGGTAGTTTCATACAGAGGTGCAGAGGGTTGTATTAGTCTTGATGACTCAACTACGCTCCTACTGCTGGAGTTGGTGCATCCAGGCCACAACTGGAGCACTCTGCTGGTGCAGCATTGGGGGGCGGGGGAGGGGAGGCTTTCATTAGTTCTCCTGTGGATAAATAGGGAATTTCCATCTCCAAAGCTATTAATCAAGCAGCTTTCACCAGAGCTGAATTCACTTTAGAATAAAATCAAGAATTGTCCCATGAGCATTTCCAGTACAGTGGGGTTTTTTACAGAAAGGGGTATTTGCAATGTCGAACCAGTTTGTCAAAGCCAGCAATAGAGGTAAATTGTATAAATCAGTGCTGGGGAGACCTGCATGCATTTTGGAAAGGGGAAAGTGCATCCTCGTGTAGAGGCACTAGATCTTGGGTTTAAGATGATGACATATGGAAAAATCAATGCATCATTGGCCCTAGAAGGGCAGGCTTTAATGAACTGAGTGTTTCCTAGCCATTAATGTTTGCATGTTCCATAATGGCAGGAAGAGCTGTGTGTGACTGTCTTGAGCCAGAGTTTACAGGGACAGATATAAAATTCAATAGGGGACAGACTGAATGAGGGTTTGTAAGTTCCCCCGGGGTAGGGAGACCATACCATTCAGGCCCTTGATGACCCTCAGCATTGGAACATTAAACTGAGTTTGAAAGTAGTATTTTTATTGGAAGGCATCACTGGTATTTTAAGGTAGAGTAATTTCCTGCATCTTAATGGAATGGGAAAAGCACTTTATACTTCAACATGATGCATTTCCAAGCAGTATTGAACTTTCCTATAATGAATTCTGATGTCACTTTTGTGTGTGGCTCATAAATGGCGTTAACTACTGGAGTGGCTCCCTGATGAACTGTGTTTTGTTCTTGAAAGTCTTTGAATAAAGAGGGACTCAGTGGTTTGGGGTTTAATGTTAGGATAAAGAGCCTTTCACCTTGTGTACAAATCTGAATTTGGACCAAACTGGCCACAAACATTGCCAGTGTTTGACTCGTGAATGATCTGTTCTCAATCCAGTCTCCTATGGACATTGCAAGACCAATTTTAGTTAGCCCAGACTGGCCCCTTTTGTTGGTGATCTCCACTAAGGATTGGAATAGGCCTGGGGACTGAATTAATTTCTCATATCTAGTGGTGTGGTCCCTCTAGTTCAGAGGTTCTCAAACTGGGGGTCGGGAACCCTCAGGGGGTTGTGAGGTTATTACATGGGGGGGTTGCGAGCTGTCAGCCTCCACCCCAAACCCCGCTTTGCTTCCAGCATTTATAATGGCATTAAATATATAAAAAAGTGTTTTTAATTTATTGGGGGAGGGGGTCGCACTCAGAAGCTTGCTATGTGAACGGGGTCACCAGTACAAAAGTTTAAGAACCACTGCGTCTAGTTCATGGCTGAGACAAATGGATGAGATCAGGTGGTGAAAGCTGGCATTGCAACTGTGCTGTATGTACTACAGGAATTCAGTTTCCTAAACTTCAGCTGGCATCCTCGACAAAGGCTAATCTCACTTTCTATTAAAAAAAAACAAAACTCTTCTGAAGAATCATTCTAAATGCAAAATGAATACAGAAGTAGAACTAAATATCAGAAGAGACTTTCCAAGGTTGATTTTTACAGGCAGGTCTGCAAATATGCTTCAATTTGTTTTGTTTGGACATTCCTCATGGGTTCTAACTCCTCTCTTTCAGAAATTTGAGAACTTCTACTTTGGAGAACTGCAGTTGAATTCAGTCCATCTTTCTCAGAGATTCTCCACAGACAGCTCTGGTTACTACGCTACATCTGGGCAGCTCACTTTCTCCTGAAATAACAACTCAGGTGCTCCAACAGATCTGCTGTGCACCCAGAATTGTAAAAAGGTTACATTAATTTTGGAGCCTCAAACATGAAGAGAGATCTCTTCTAAGGATTCTACAAAGACTGGGATGCCATGTTATTTCTTCAAGGAACCATGCACGATCCGCGACGTTGCACCTTCTTGGTGGAACTCTCCTGCAGTCTTTCCTACAAATATCCCATCTCCCTATCCTCTCAAAAAGCTCTGGTCTCCTCCTACTTCCACCTCATACTGCTTTTTCATTTCCCTTAACACTTCTAGTTTACAGGTTTCTTCCACTTGGAAGCTAGCTGGCATCTTTAGGATAAAGGGTCATTGTCAGCTAACCTTTTATATGCAGTTTTTCTCGTTTTTATCAGATGTTTGATGCCATCTTACAAGTTTACAAAAATAACATTTATTTCTGTACAGTTTCTTTCCTTCTGGCAAATATTTGTCTCTCCCAGCCTTCCTCCTCAGCCTTCTTTGTAATGGAGCAGAAGACATGTCTTCATTTTGTTTACTTTGCTATTTCAAAGCCCAATGAAGTCAGTGGAAAGACTCCCATTGAAATCGGTGGACTTTGGATCAGGCCTTATATGAACAGGAATGTTGCATGTGCCTGTTTACATTTGTCATTAAACTGCTTGTTGTAGACCAGTAGTGTGCGCGCACCCAGCTTTCTGTGTGTCACACCAGATCTTGATAATTTTGTTTTTAAATGAGCAACTGTAAACTCTCAAAATAAATGTTTAAAATCCAGAAGAGCTCCCCAGACTGTAATATAACAATGTTAAGGCAAGTCATTACTTGGGGCCCAAACAGTTTGACAGTGTTTCTGTAACATTAGTGATGTTAAAATAACCAAATAAATTAATTCCTTTCAAAAAAAGTGTTTAACTCCTGTTGCATTAATAAAGCTATCAAATTATTTTTGTAAACTTTTTGCACTTGTATTAATAAACCATTTGCAATAAGTGCAGTGAGAACTGTTTTAAGCAATCATTCCTCAGGCTGTCAAAAATCTGTTTATTGTAAATGGTTTTCTGATAAAGGAGCAAAATTGTTATTACAGTTGGTGATACTTTGAGACAGCATCTTAAGACAGTTTGCTTAAACAGTGCTGATCTGTTGTAAAGATTTTATTTCATGTTATCTGGGGATCATCTTTCCAAATTCAGTAATCGTGGCAACATAGTCTTTTTTTTTTCCTTTCACTAGGAAAGTTTAAAAATGGATGATCCTGGTTTCTTCATTTTGTATTGAAAACATTCCTTTTGCTCAGAAAATCAGTTTTAATATTCACTCCTTAGTCTGAAGCTATCCTGTACTCTATTTTAATATTTTTTTCTCCAGCTCTCTTCCCATGCTGCCATTGCACACTTATCCTCCGGTGGGAAGAGCCTCTTCTAAAACCACCCTTAATGCTGCTTACCTAGTAAAGCATGTGTACACACACTTGGGACCTAATCCTGTGAGATGCTGAGAGCTCTCAACTCCTGTTGGTTTCAGCTTTCAGCACCTCTCAAGAAGCATATCTCAGGATCAGGCTTGTTAGTCTTTCACCCAAAAGTACAGACTAGATTTTCTTTTTGCGATAGAAAGATATACATATAAAAGCTTCTTAGCATGTTTTATTTTTAACATCTGTAACCAAGAAGCTGTTTATGCACTTAGCAATATACTTCAGACTAAATATTCAAGCTCTAAAGGACACTGAGTACTATTTTTATTCCTCTTTGTAAGCAATTCCCTCTTAGAAGCTTAGCTATAAAATTTCCTTTCCAACTAGTTTTGCCCTTTGTTTAATATTGATTTTTTTTCTTGCTGTTTTTCCTCATTGAGGTCATCATTAATTACTCCTGAGGGCATTCTGTGCCAAAAAATTAAATTCTGGGCACAATATTTTAAAATTCTGCAAGTTTTATTTGTGAATAAATAAATGCAGAGGCTCCAGCATGGCAGTGGGGAGCACAGGCCCCTGGCTGCACGAAGGTGAGAGAGAACCCTGCAGCCTCCCCACTCCTCAGACACGGATTCAGGCAGCCTCCCCACTCCTCAGACACGGATTCAGTGGTGAGGCTGCACCCGACTGACAGCACAAGGCCTGGGTCTGCCCCAGAAATACCCTAGGTCCCCCTACCTTTGTGCCAGGCGTACCAGGTGTGGGGCAGGCAGGCTCAACCAGGCAGGATCCAAGTGTGGAGGGGCTCATTGTGGGGGGGATCCAGGTGTGGGGTGAGAGGATTCTGTGTGGGACAATCTGGGTGCAGGCAGCTCAGTGGGGGGTTTTGGTGTGGGGAGATCAGAATGCACAGAGGCTTGTTGGGGGGAATTCCAGGTTCAGTGGCAATGGGACTCTGCGGGGGCTTCCAGGTGAATGGTTGGGGCTCAGTGGAGGGGTCAGGGTGTGAGGGTCCCAGCAGAGGGGTCTGGGTGCTCAGGGAGGGGGACTTGCTGGGGTGGGGGTCTGGGTGCAGCTTGTTGGGGGTTGGTGGGGTGGGGGTTTGGATGTGGGGGTTCAGGATGGTTCAGGGGTGGGGGGACTCATCGGGGTGGGGGTTTGAGTGCAGGGATCTCTGGGGGTGGTCTGGGTGCAGGGGACTCCAGATGCAGGAGTTGAGGTTCAATGGGGTGGGTTTGAGTATGGAGGGCTGGGGGATTCTGTGTGTACTGGGTGAGACTTGGTGGGGGTGTCTGGGTATGGGAAGTCTGGATGCATGGGGATTGGGCAGATGGGGGAGCAGCTCCCTATACAGGGACCCCGCCCCCCGCAGTTGAGGAGTGATGCGGGCAGGAAGCAGGGGAGCATGCTGAGCTTCCTGCAGCTGGGGGAGGTTTTGGGGGATGGGTCTGACACAGCCCCAGCCACTCCTTGCAGGGGAAGAGGAAATCCTGTTCTCTCCTGCTTCCAGCCCAGCCAGGACTAGCAGCTGATCTTGGCTCAGGGTAGGAGCCACTGGCTGGGGTGTCACCAGCCCTGCCGTGATTTATCTCTCCTCCGGGTGCCTGAAATGATGCATCTGTGCTGCTAAGGAGTGGTGCATGACTGCTCTTGCAGCTTCCCTTTGCTTCTCTGTCAAAGTTATTTTTCTGTGGGGAAGCAAAGAAATCTCTGGGGGACATGAATTCTGCGCATGCGCAGTGGTGCAGAATTCCCCCAGAAGTAGTTAATATAGCTGGATTTTGATTATGTTGGGCCAGATCCTGCCACCCTGACTAATGCTGAGAGTAAATCTTGCTCCATGAGTAATCCCATTGAAATCAGTGGGACTAGCACATAGTAAGGTACTACTTCCCATGAGCAAGGGTGGCAGGATATGGCCCTTTGTGCACAAATACTGTATCAAGTGAGTGAGCACAACTGTAGAAGGGGCATTAATGGCTGTGTTTATATAGGTCCTTTAGTTCTGTTTCAGTTTACATTCAATGGAGAGTTAAAAGAATGTTAGTCTGTTTCCTCTTCTGCAGATTGTCTTTAGTATTGTTAATTTCTAGGACTGAAAGCCAAGAATTTGTTTGAAATCTGAATCTGGTCCTGTGAGATCAACATGTTTTGTGCCTCCAGAATTTTTGGCTCCTATTTGCTTTACAATTGATGTAAACATCTATTATGCCTCTCTTATATGGGAAATTTTTTTAATTCCCAGCAACCATTCCAAGAGTGTAACCCTTTAAAGGGGTGGTGTCATCTTGAAAATCGCATTTGTCTGAACATGTTGTAGCTACTATTGTGACAAATAACACCTCCCATTACTATAAATGAAGTTAGTGAAAACATTTTTTCTCTTTTATCCATTGATTTCTTTGTGCATTCGACAGCACTTTGCACAGTCCATCAGGCCCTAGTTCTACAATGAGGTTTGGGTGGGTGAACTTCTGCAAAATCCCCTTGACTTCAATGACAGGTTTCAGAGTAGCAGCCGTGTTAGTCTGTATCCGCAAAAAGAACAGGAGTACTTGTGGCACCTTAGAGACTAACAAATTTATTAGAGCATAAGCTTTCGTGGGCTACAACCCACTTCTTCGGATGCATCTGACTTCAATGGGGCTCTGGGCTGAAGGGGAGGAGGGGGCTGCTGGCATAGAGCTGATTGCAGGATCAGGGCCCTACTTAGGCTCCAGCAGCGCCTAAGTAGGCTGAACGATTTAAGGGGGTATTCTGTCAGAAATGGGAATTGATATAGATCAGTGCTGGTCCCTGGACTCTAAGATTTCTAAAGGGGACAGCACCTCCATTTAAAATTTTTAGGGGTCTGCAACTGAAAAGGGTTGAAAATCACTGATATGGATAATCAGTTTTTAAAACCAATTTGACCGTGTTCTTTAGAAACAGCACAACCCAAATCCTCCCCGCCAGAGCTTCATCCCCTTTCAAATCCCCTGGAAAGCCCCACCCCATGGAGGGCGCCCAGCCTCGCTCTTCACGTTCCTGTTCGGCAGCCACTTTGCACGTTCCAAAGGCCGACAGCTCCCTACAGAGGAAGCGGCGAGCCTCGTTGTCCTCCCGGGGGCAGAGCGCCGGGCTCGCCTCTTGCAGCCCCAGGCCCTTTCCCTACAGCATCCAGGCACCACGGCGGGCCGAGAGGGAGGTGCCGTGGAAATCCGTGCAACAGCTCGGCTCGCTGCGGCCGGGCCGGCTCTGCTCCTGCGGGTCTGAGGCCGCGGCCCGGGAAAGGGGCGAGGGGAGGGGCTGGTTTGGTGTCCCGGGAGGTGCCCCCGCGCTGTCAGCACCACGCCCCCGACCCCGCAGCTCTTCCCAGGACCCAGCCTAGGGTTACGGGCCAGGCACTGAACACGGTTCGCTGGGCTAGCGGGAGCCGCAGCCCGTCTGCGCCCTCCTGCTCTGGGTTGCAGCGTGAGCTGTATGTGCTTCCCCAGGGCCTTTGTCGTGCCCGCTCGCCCGGCCCCTGACTCGCTCGCGGGGCTCGCACAGCCCTGTGCCCTGCATCCTCCTCCCTTGGAGCGGGGCTAGTGACCGCGCTGTCTCTGGGCTCGACACTCACTTTGAAACCATAGCCCGTAGTTTCTGGGTGGGTTCCTGTTTAACAGGTATGATGTCAAGTGTGATGCTGATGCTACAGTGACTAAGCCAGCCTCTTTTGGCGCAGACGCTGTCATCCTATCTGTGCTTCGAGCTCGGGGTTTCAGAGCAGGGCATCTCATAATCAGGTCACATTCCACTGAGGATCCACCATCCATCTCTCCCTAAATCGCGAGACCAGAGAGGGAAGAAGACAAATAATTGCTTTGCAAGAGGTGGAGAAAAAAAGACCGAGATCAGAGATGAGAGCCCCAGGCTGTTGTCTGGTGCCACTGTTGCTGTTGGCTGTCGCCTTGGCGGAAGGGGACAGCAAAGGGGGTAAAGACGGAGACCATCCAGGCAATTTTATGGAGGACGAGCAATGGCTGTCTTCCATTTCTCAATACAGCGGCAAGATCAAACACTGGAACCGCTTCCGAGACGTGAGTCTGTAGCCTAAAACCGAATAGCATGAGGTCCACCCTAGAGGCGGGGAGGGGAGGCCGTTGAAAACCAAAAAGGAGTGCAGCGGGGAAACCTGTGCGAAAGAGCTGCCGATGAGAGCATTGCAATCTCTACTCTAAATGGATCTGTAAAATATATGGGGCTTCCCTGGTTGTTGTTGTTGGGGGGGGGGGATTTAAATACAACTGGGCAGGCTTCGAAAAGCCAGGGAGCTGAGCAAGTACTGTGCCTGTGGAAAAAATAAATGATTTCATTTGAAAACGTGTTTAATTTTGCATTAGCTAGAGACCAGCAGGCATCGGGGAGATGGAAGCCAGAACAGTGCGTGCACAGGCTAGGCTAGGCTAGGCAGCAGCACCACCTGATTGCATTAGATTGCACGGGGGTAGGGCGAGCTGGGCTGAAGGTGGCAACTCCCTTTGCAAATGTTGACCGTTATTTAGAGGGAAGGAGAGGCATTTGTTGCACGGAGCAGCTTTGCAGCAAGGGCAACTCGCTGCATCGTTCGATGAAAACAAAGCCGTTCCCAAGTGCTCTAATGAGTTTGCAACGGTGCGCTTGGCAAGGTTATAGGAGGCTCCGATGTGCTGCTGGGCTGTGTTAATAAGCACCTTCATGGTGCCCAGACCTGTGCATTAGGATGAGCTGAGCAAGCGTGAATGTGTGAGGTTGAAAATATTGCAGACAAACGGTGGCGTTTTTATTGACGTGTCCCCCTGCTCAGTTACTGCCTCTACATAATTACACCCGAGCTGTTTGATCCTAGCGGCTCCACATTCTGCTGCTTCCTTTTCATTCATTATACTATTGGATCCACAGGAATGGTTTCCGGATGGCGGGATCAGACAGCAAATGACAGACAAAATAATTAAAAAAGCAAGAGCAGAAAGAGAGAGAAAAGTAGGAGGGAGCCGAATGGAAATAATTATGCGTGCAAAGAAAGCAGCAAAACCCAGGTGTCAAAACAAAGCCAAACATGGGAAATCGCTTTTTCTCTCCTGCTGTTTTTCTTTAAATAAAAGGTTTATAAAACGTGGTAAGTGATAGATTGGGGTAGGAGGAGAAATAATAGCTTGGGGGGCTACCCCGCATGCATTTTTTATTTTTAGGAGGACAGGTGTAGATTTCTCTGTCTGTGCAGGGTGGAGGCTGCAGGGAACTGAAAACCTGATCACAGGCACAAAAATGTGTTATAAGGAAGTTTCCAGAGGAGACAGCATAGGGGCAGGGTTACCTTGGAAGGGAAATGCATTAGACTTTAATAACTTGTAGTTTTAGGGATTTGTTTAAATATACATCTGATGCTTTCCATATTCTGTGCGGACCCTGGCTTGTTAAACCACTAGCTGCTCATAAATATATGTCAGCACAAAGGAGGGTGTGTTTCTTTCTTTGTTTTCCTTATAAACTATTTTATTTTATCTTTTTGCTAATGTTGATCAAGGTTAACTAAGAAGAAAGGATCATAGCTGCTTCTCTGAGGTCTGAGCTGGATTGCAGTGTAAATATTAATTGTTCTAAAAGTCATTTCTGAGGTCACAAAAGAGGGAGCCCCCTACATACCCTTGCCAGTGCTTAGTAATTAGGAGGAGGAGGCAGAATCAGGGACTTCCTTTCACTTGTGTTTATGCAGCACTCTGTTTAGGAGCACCTGTAGATCACCGGGGAAAATGCATGAGTATTTTTCAACAGAGATGTGACATCTTTTTCTGTGTTTAAAAAGCTCAGAGGTTGTAAGGATGGCAGATCTATAGCTGTGGGGGCTGGGAGAAGCAATAGTTTCACTTAGTGGCTATTACATCAGGAGGAAAAGCAATTTGGTTAAGTAATACAAGTTAGAAAAGGGTTGATTTTTGCTCTCATGACACTTGTTTAGCTTATTCTTTGCTCTCAAATGCCATTTCTCACTCCTGAAACATTTAGTATCAGAGACGCTAAAGGATGGAGTTCCTCATTTCTTTCAGATTATTGACTCAGCCTCGACATACCATATTTGCAAAGGATTATGCACATTTGCAGTTTAACCTTTGAATAAATAACACATATTAGAAGTTTTGGGGTATGTGTACCTACATATGCTCTCAATAACCAATAGGAATGGTGATTTATAGTGTTTCATACATATGATAAGAGTATATGATTCATAAATGTAACCAGTCAAATTGGCTATTACATGTTTGACATAAAGACTGAGCCAAGTCTATATGTTAAGGTTTCCGTTATGAATTTGCTCATTAGGTACCATTATGTATCATTACAAAATATTGGCTCTGAAAGTCCAGTTGGCCCAAAATATAATGCAAGACAATTGTCCAATTAAATAAGACTAAATTACTTATATGCTGAACATATTAACTAACATCTGCTATCAGTAGAATTGAACAACTAGATACAATCCTGCTTTCATTGATGGTCTTCTCAGGAAGGTTGTGGGCAGACTAGAAGACTGAACAGCTCTTTTCCAGCTCTAATTTCTATGACCTTGTGGACAGAAACAGAGGGGAATGGGCTAAACCCATGGCTAATGCTAATAGAGGTTTGGTAATGACTTGATCCAGAAATAAATAGCCACAAATGTGTTTAGTAAAATTATTTTTTTTAGTGAAGGCAGTTGACTCAATATCTGAATACTTTTCCTCATGGTTCTTCAAGCCCTATACTGCAAAATGTACTGTTGAGTGTAATGAATTTGGTGGTCTCAGGTCATCTCTGCAAGGCAGAAGAACACTTCAAAGAGCTGTCATACCTGGTTTATCAGATTTTACCTCTGGCTGTGGAAGGAGAAAAACAGGTGGTCCCGTGGGTCCCAGTTGAGGTTTTTGTCACGCTTGTGTGAGGATGCTAGCATTGCAGCTAATGTGATTGAATCTTGCTAACCTGTCCTACAAGTAATTCAACACATTCAGTTCAGGACACTGCTAATCTAGTAACCTTCACAATTAAATGTAGTCAATAATAATAATAATAATAATAAGCAGCTGTATTTAATCTCAGACTTTAATTTTATTTTTCTACTGTCCAAGGTAAGTTGGAGTTTTTACTGCCTCTTAATGATTATACTCATGCAGTAGTTACTGATTTGAGAATAACTTACTGCCTAAAGAATTCAGCTTGTAGTACTCTGTAAGAGTGAAATAAATCAGATATAGGTTATCACTGAAATGAGCATGGTGGATCTCCTTTTAAATGCCAGTGGATGTTGTTCATGTTTAAAACCAATGTATGGTATGGGATACTTGTCCATTTCTGCTCAAGACTAGAGCAGAGGAGGGTGTTACAAGTCAGGATTGGGGTGCTTTGACAGAGCTATGTGAAGACCTGGGACTGGAATAACTGGTGGCCTGGCAAATTAGGATTCTGGTGCATTGGCAGGGTTATGTGGGTGAAGCTCTCACACACCTCTCACACGCTATGTCTGATAAAGGTATCGGTTCCTCACTTGCATAATCACCAAATCACAACATTGATAAAATTCCTGGGTAGAAGAAGTAACCAGCTAATTATTTGTGAGTCTGTCTGCTGATGAATACTGCTCTGTATCTCTTATTGAAGGTTTATAGATTTACTGGGTCTCCCATTTTAGTGGGTTTATGTTGACAGGCTAATATTCTTGGTGCATTTAATGCTTAAGAAAATGAGGAACTAATAGCCCTGGCCAGACATTAGAACTGGTCATGCTGCGGGTATGTGAAGGCTTCCCTCACATGGTGCAGCCAATGCACCTCCATTCTGATCTGCAATACTTGCTTCCCTTCCAGTCTCAGATCTCCCCTGAACAGAGAGGCACAGATATCCTGAAATGCTTGACAGAGAAATGTCCATTTAAGACTAGAGTGACCACCATAGTCATTTTACTTGTGACCTGATCTGTATTTGAACCAAGTTCTCCAAAGGTGAAAGGTAGCAAAAGATCCCTGATGGCTGAATTAGCTGTTAAATAACAGTGATTTAGAAGAAAATTGCACTATCCCTGGTGTGGATGTTTGTGGAATAATTTATGAGTTAATGGACTAGCCTTCCCCTCTTGATATCTTGATTCAAATCCCAGAGAGTTTACAAGTAAAAGCAGGCGGGGTAAATTATCCTAGTACCCTATGGATGTTTGTCTATATCACAAAGCTACAATACAGGAAGTCATAACTCATTGCGGTGGTGAGGCTGTATTCAGGAGACATACAGGACTGCAACAGCTGGGCTATTGCAGATCAGAGGTGTGCAAAGGAAGCTTGAACAGTGTTTGCCCTTGCTGTGTTTGGATCTGTAAGTGCTGTTAGTCTTTCATTTAAACATGAGCACCTAAATTAATCCAGAAATTCTCCTTACCAAAAAGAGGACTCTGCCCGAGTCCTTAATTGGTAATGAAAGAGGTGCCAGGGTTCAAGCAATTTTTTAACTTTCATAACTGATGTGGCAAGCCCAGAGGTGCTGGGCTATGGACTGACAATCCCAGAGATGCCGGGGCTCAGCCTGGCAAGCCCTGGCACAAATTAAGCACTGCTCTGTGCCCATGAGAAAAGCCAGCAGAGCAGTGCATAGAGCATCCCTTTCAAGCTGCAGCCTTGTATGTGATCATGAATATGTATGGATCAGAGCTCTAAGTGAGCTGCTGGGGGTGAGTTGTAACTCCCTGTTAAATAAACCAATTAGTTTAATAGATAAAGGAAGAGGATAAAAGGAAAGGGGTGTTTCCCTGTTAAATACTTACCAGTGGAGACCTGATATGAATACAGTCCCATGCAGGACTGGTAAATCCCACTTGCAATAATTTGTTAACTTGTGTAAGGTTTTATATATTTATATATTAAGGATCTGGTTGACAGAAGTGTAATCTATTATATATTGGCAGAGAAAGTAGCATGTGGGAAGAGGTGCCCAATTCAATTTGATATTTTTGGGGTCCTCAGGGAAATCAGAAGGGCAAGTCTGGAGTCGCTTCACAGCCCTTGATGCATTAGGACTTGGATGCACTGAGATGAAG